TCCAAAAATAAAAGTTGAGGGACTGAATCGGGGTTTTAACCTTAGTATGATTGTGATTTTTATTTTTATTTTTTAATTTTTATTTTCACAAATTTTATAACTACACAAAACTACAATTAAAAATAAAAAACTAATAATTTATTTAAAATAAGTTTTTAATACTAACAACTAAAAATGCAAACCCATTTAATAATGTTAAATGAATTTTTATTTTTATTTTTCTAATAATTATAATAATATATTATACAAACATATGAAACTAAATGAGTTTTTTAAAAGTAACATAATTTATAAAAATCAGAACCTCAATCATCTAGCTTCCATCTCTGAAATTGATACTTGATTTATGGAACAAATCTCTCGCTCGATCTCCAAAACATGTTTTTCTTTCTCAACTTTACTGGTGATGAAAAACCCTGGATGTTTTGGTTCTGGCAGCTGAATAGTCTCGTTTGAAAGCATTGACACAACATCAAGTATGGTGGGTCTATCTATGGCATGGTCTTGTACACACAAGAGGCCAATATGAATACACCTTAATATTTCATCATGAGGGCAACTTTCATCCATACTAGGATCTATTAACTCTAACTGTCTACCTTCATTCCATAGCTGCCACACCTGTTGGAAATAGAATTGGATATTTAATGAAAACCTTACCTTAAGAATTGATATAATGTTCATTCAAAATTTTAATCTTCCCTAACCGTACTAACAAAATGATAAAAGAGGCTAAAGAGGGAAAATGAACTTACATATCCTGTAAGGTTAAGAGGATAATCAGGATGATAATGGGTAGTATTCTTCCTCCCAGTTACAACTTCTAGTAGTAGAACTCCAAAGCTAAATACGTCAGTTTTGATTGAAACAAGGCCATGGAACGCATATTCTGGAGACATGTAACCACTGTAAAAATAATTAACATACAAATTTTTTACTTTAGAAAGGCCGACGAAAAGAAAACAAGTTTACAAATGTAGGAAGACTAATAGATGTAACCAAATACAAAGCCACTTACTATGTTCCAACAACTCTATTTGTATTTGCTTCAGATTCATTTAGTCCAAATATTCTAGCCATCCCAAAATCTGATATCTTCGGATTCATTTCATTATCAAGTAAAATGTTGCTAGCCTTTAAGTCTCTATGAATGACTCTTAATCTGGAATATTTATGTAGATAAAGTAGCCCTTGAGCAATCCCTTCAACGATGATAAAACGTCTCTTCCAATTCAATATTTTCTTCTTATCCGAATCTGATTGTAAAAATTTAGCTTAATAAGCAAGAATTCCACCAGCTATAAGTGAGACGAATCATAAGATTGAAGGAAACAAACATCTTACCAAACAGAAACGAATCCAAGCTTTTGTTTGGCATATACTCATAGATTAATATATTTTCTTCTCCTTGAATGCAAAAGCCTAGAAGCCTCACAAGATTAGTATGCTGCAGCTTTGCAATTAGCAGAGCCTCATTCTTGAACTCTGCTACTCCTTGTCGTGAATTGGTGGAGAGTCTCTTTATTGCTACTTCTTGCCCATCATGTAATATTCCCTGAAATTATCATCTCACTCTAGTATAATCTGTAATGGAAGTTCATAGTTCTAGCTCATAACGTATATTGATTACCTTATAAACTGGTCCAAAGCCGCCCTCACCTAGCTTATTTACAGGTGAGAAATAGTTTGTAGCATAGGCAATGCTTTCAAAGCTGAAAACATGCAGCTCATTTCTATCCGCTTTATGGCCTTTTGGTTTTCCAAATGAGATGGAAGGTGTTTCACCACCATCCAGTTCTTTTATTAGCATCCTCTTGCTATATTTTTCATCACCTAATCAAACATCAAGGAATCAAAAGTTTGGATATGATTGCCGAAATAAATTAAACAAATTGATTATGAACACCACAAAAACACATGTTGTGGAGTAAGATACTGACCATTTGATGTGCATTTTTTCCAAATGATATAGCAGACAGAGCATAAAGTGGGTATGGTCATCATTAGTCCAACTGCAGTGGTAAGCCATAGCCACCATTTGTTCTCTGCAATCAATTGACTGACATCTTTAGATTATTCCTTACCACAATAACATCTAATTAAGCAGTAACATGCCAAGATTTTTTGTACGTGTGACATGTAAAATTTGTGTGTAAATGGATCCCTACTCTTTTAAGTAATGTGCTAGGCTTGGACCTTTTAGAACGAAGTCAACTCACCTCTGGAAGGAAGGATGTAAATCATGCGAGCGTTGCCATTGACTGCTGGTTTTATTTTTGCACTTGATGTCCAAATTTCACAGCCGGTGATATTGTCATCTAGATAAATGGTTGTGGCAAAAGCAAGACAATTGCAGTTTAACAAGCATTTGACCTTACAACTCTCAATAGTAAGGTTTTTGCTGTCACTGAATCTGAATCCATCTCTGGACATTGAACCATAACTCGCAGGGATGAATCTATCCTCCATACTACTCCTACATTTCGGAAGCTTCTGCTTTATGCATTTACTTTTGGCACCAGAGATGTTAGGTTGAGAACACGAATTTAACCAGAGCCAGTCCCAGTAATAAGCTTTGGCCATGAAGAGCTTACCATAATAGTGTATTCTTATTTCTGGGAAAGAATTTGTGTTGTAATCTGCCGTGTAATTGAAGTAAGTTTGATTCTCATTTTCAATGAAACTAAAGGTCAAGCCATAACCAAATCCAGAAAAATATTGAAAGTCGGAGCTGCTTTCTTGCCAACTTCCACTTCTCCAGGATACTTCTCCTCCCTGCCACACGACGAGTTGTTTTGTATCATTGGGATCCAAGCCAAGAGCAAAATAGCCTGGGGCAGGTGAGCCGTAACTCTTCCACGATGTCAGATTTGTTGTAATTACTAGTTTCATTCCCGGTAGAAGCGTGTCAGTGGGATAGTCAAAGCTTTGCCACAAAATTCCCTTCACAGATCCATTCGAATCCAGCTCACGCAGTACAAAGTTGCCATCGTCCTGTAAAGAAGCACTTGCATTGATGGTAGCTCGAGTTGAGTACAAGCTAGTGGTCACCTTTGTATCACCAGATAAAATCTTGAGGTCTCCATTGCTGCCGACGGAGAGAACTCCAAGACCCTTCATGACTGGACTTTCTCGGTTCGCAACCCACACTGGGAGCATGTGTAATATTGGAGAGACTTCTTCATCACTATCTTCAGGCATGGTTTGGTCATTGTACCATATTCCCAAGAAAGATTCATCAACAGAGTCATAATCGGAATTTGACCAGTAAGGCACGAAGAATACTAAAGTGAAGCGTTTATTGGGTGATTTTAGTTGCTCCCAATATCTGAGCTGCTTGCCTTGCTCCAGTGTGTCATTTTTGGAAAAAGAAGCAATCAGAAAACACAAAAAACAGACAAGTGCGAATGCTCTTGTACATATGCTTCCCATTCTTCATCAAATTTGTAGAGCAAAAGAAATGTTCATTCTAGCTATATATTAAATTCTTCCAAACTGATGTGGCTTCCACCATGTTGAAAGGAGAGAAAAAGCAAGCGTCACACTGAACTTTCCGCCGTGATGTGGGACAGGCGGCTCCGTGCCGTGAATGTGTTTACCACTACTTTCCATGTGAACTGTCTTCCTCAATGAACCCGGTCAGAGCATGTACATTGGGAATATTCAAAATTCTCCATTCCTATGATATTTTTATAATTAATATTATTTTATTTAAATTTATACTTTTATATATTTAATTTTAAAATAGAACACTTAACAAAATATTTTTGCTCTAATACTTAGAGCCTCACCCCTAAAGTACTTTAGGCAGTAGATCCACTATTAAGTTAGGCAAAACCATATACTAAGCCCCTAAACTAACTCAAGATTAATTATTGGGCTCTTAGACTTTAATTCATACATATAAGCTCCTAAACTCTACAATTTGAGTAATTTAACCCTTAATTCTTTAACTATTGTAAGAATAAGGGCTAAATTGCTATAAGTATAAGGGCCAAATTGCTTAGATAGTGGAGTTTAGGAGTTTGTATACATCAATTAAAGACTTAATTTGACTATGTTACCTACAATATTTTTTACAATCTACAAAATTTTTTATAACTTATGTGTTTGATAAATTATCCATCTTTACTTTTTCAAAAAGAAATACAAAAATCATCTTATCCAAAATTAATAAAATTTCTAAATAATTTACTAAAATTTCCAAATCTTTTTTTTCGTACATTATATATTAAATTATTAATTGATTTAATTTTAAATAATAATGTGTCCAATTGAGTAATTTTACAATAAATAATTTTTTTAAAATCTAATTACCAAATGCTAAAATATTTTTCATGAGAATATAACTTAATATTTCTAACGGTTACAATTATAAAACAGCATCAGATTACATTGTTAAATTAAAGAAAAGTTTGAGGATTCAATAGTAAATCTGAAGTTAATTAAGAGATTTAATATATTGTTTTATCTCGAAGTTAGGTAGCGAAAATAGATATGTAGTAAAATGATCAAATCTTTCGATAAAATTAGGTAATAGGAAGAAACCTATTCTTAACAAAATAATATAATAACAATAATAATATAAATAAA